TGTATTACTAGGAGTGGAGTTGCATTGCCAGTCCTTTCAAATTATAGCAATTTGGCAGTTGTAGTGAGATCTTGTTATTATTTTAATTTGTAATGCCAACAGCTAGTGTGATTGCTGTATTTTTGGACCATTTACATAGTTGCTTTTGTAAAGTATCTGTTCAAGTCTTTTGCCTATTTTTTTTTTACAATGGGCTCACATGTCATTTTTATTTAAAAAAAATGGTATTAAAAAATACTAGCCATTCCAAATAGTTGACTGCAGTTTGGTTCATTTTGTCCACTGTGGATTTGTTTTCTATTTCATTTTTGTGCTCTTATTACTTCCTTTTATTTTCTTTGAGTTTTATTTTCAGTTCTTTTTCCAACTTTGTGAAATGGATACTTAACACACTGACTTCCAGCCACTCTTCTTCCCTCACGTGTACGTTTGAAGCTATCCTGTCTCCTCGGGCAGGGCTCCTGATGCAACCCCAAAGTTCAATGTCATATTTCCACTATCATGTGTTCAAGTTATTTTCTAATTTTTATTGTGAGTTCTTCTTTGACTTATAAGTTACCTAGAAGCAAACTACTTAATTTCTAAACATTTGTGAATTTCTGTGTCATTTTGTGGTTGATTTCTATCTCAATTCCACATAAAGGATTTCAGTCCTTTGAAATCTATCAAGATATGCATTAGAACTTGGTAGTTTTGGTAAATGTTATATGTGTACTTGAAAAGTTTAGTCATTCTATCATTCTGGGGTTCAGTTTTCTAAATACATTAATTAATTCAAATTTGTTAATCACATGTCTGCTCTTCCATATCAGAAATTGACAAACTTTTTCTTAAAGAGCTAGAGAGTAAATATTTAGGCTTGCAGACAATCATGTCTCTGTCTCAGCTACTCAGCTTTGCAATTATAGCATGAAAGCAGCCATTGATAACATGTAATGAATGGGTAGGGCTCTGTTCTAATAAAACTTTATTTACAAAAACCAGTGGTTAGCCTATGAGCCATAACTTGCTAATGCCTGTTTTATCTAATTACTCTGTGTGTGTGTATAAATATAAAATTCTTGGTCTGCTTGTTTTATCAGCTATGGACAACTCTCCCATGAAGAATGTAGATTTGTCCAGTTCTTTTCATTCTGTAATTTTTGTTTTATATATCAAACCGATGTTACTAGACACATACAAATTTAGAGCTTAAATTTAAGTCTTCTTAGTGGATGGTTTTTAGAAATATGAAATGTCCCTGTATCCCTAATAATGCTCTTTACATTAAGGAATATTTTATATAATATTGATATAGTATACTAACTTTCTTTTAGTTAATGTCAGTGTGGTATTTCTTTTACTATCTTTTTAGTTGCATCATTTACATATTCTTTTATTTAAGGTTGTACTCTTGTCAGCAACATATATTTAGTGTTCTTTTAAAAAATCCCACTTGACATTTTATGCCTTTACTTGGCATATTTGAGCCCATCTGTATTATACATCTATATTATACATATTATTACCCTTCTGAGACTCTTCTTTTTCTACCCCAAAGTTCTAGTGAGAAGCGCAGGTCACAGAATTGTTTTCTCAAGTGTAGTTTCTGCTCCTGAGATTGCCTCATTTTTGCCTAACAACCTGTCTCTGTTTCAGTGAAGCTGAGTCGAGACCTGTGTCTGGACAAACAGGCCTGTACCCCGCTGGGTACCCCACTCCCCAGGCCAGTGCTCGGACTCAGAGGTTCCAAGGTTCTTCCCCACTAGAAGCCAGAGGAACAGAAATGTAGGTGGTAAATGGGTACAGCAGCCAGGAGTTTGCCTGTTTCTTGTTATTGATTGGTAGGAATTCTTTAGGTGTTCTGCATGAGTCCTTTGTCATTATGGGTGTTGGAAATATATTCTCCTAGTTTATGCCTTACCTTTTTGTTCTTTTCTAAAGATAGAATATATTGATTACACTATTACAGTTGTCCCAATTTTTTCCCTTTGCCCCCCTTCACCCAGTACCCCACTTCCCTCCAGCAATACTTTTTCACTTAGTTCATTCCATAGGTTGTGCATATAAGTTCTTTGGCTTCTCCATTTCCTGTACTGTTCTTAACATCTCCCTGTCTATTTTGTACCTACCAATTATGCTTCTTAATCCCTGCACATTTTTCCCCATTTTCCCCCTTCCCCCTCCCAGCTGATAACCCTCCAAATAATCTCCACACCTATGATTCTGTTTCTGTTCTGGCTCTTTGCTTAGTGTGTTTTTTTTAGATTCAGTTGTTGATAGTTGTGAATTTGTTGCCATTTTAATGTTCATAATTTTGATCTTCTTCTTTATCTTAAATAAGTCTCCTTAATATTTCATGTAATAATGGCTTGGTAATGATGAACTCCTTTAGCTTTACTTTGGGAAGCACTTTATCTGCCCTTCCATTCTAAATAATAGCTTTGCTGGGTAGAGTAATCTAGGTTGCAGGTCTTTGCTTTTCATCACTTTGAATACTTCTTGCCAATCTCTTCTTGCCTGCAAAGTTTTTGTGTTTTTTTTTTTTTTTAAAATGAGCTGACAGTCTTATGGGAACTCCTTTGCAGGTAACTCTCTGTTTTTCTCTTGCTGTTCTTAAGATTCTCTCTTTACCTTTAACCTTTGGCATTTAATTATGATGTGTCTTGGTGTGTCCTATTTTGGTCAAACTTGTTTGGGACTCTCTGTGCTTCCTGGACTTGTATATCTATTTCCTTTATCAAATTAAGAAAGTTTTTTTCATTATTTTTTTCAAATAAGTTCTCAATTCCTTACTCTTCCTCTTCTCCTTCTGCTATCCCTATGGTTTGGATATTGGTACATTTGGAGATGTCCCAGAGGCTTCTTATACTATCTTTGTTTTCTTTTAATTCTTTTTTTTTTTTTTTTTTTTGCTGTCTGGTTGAAAGCTTATTTCTTCTTTATGTTCCAAATCATTGATTTGAATCCTGAATTCTTCCCCTCCACTGATGGTTCCCTGTAGATTTTTCTTTATTTTACTTAGTGTAATGTTCATTTCTTCCTTTATGTTGTTGCTGTATTTAATGAGTTCTTTGAGCATCCTGTTCACCAGTATTTTGAACTCTGCATCTGATAGATTGGTTATCTACATTTTGTTTAGTTCTTTTTCTGGGGTTTTGTTCTGTTCTTTCATTTAGGCCATATTTCTTTGTCTCCTCAATTTGGCAGCCTCCTTGTGTTTGTTTCCATGTATTAGGTAGGGCTTCTTTGACTCCTTGTTTTAGTAGTGCCTATTATAGAAAAGGCACCTATAAATTATGTGGGGTGGAGCTTTAGGTAATTGCCAGGGTGGAGCAGCCCACTTTCCTACTTTGTGGCTCTGTATCAGGGGAGAGCTCAGAGAGGACAGTGCCACTGCCTGGCTTCTGGAGGTTTGCCTGGCACTTACTCCATTTCCATTTGTTTTTACCCACTTTCCATATGCGACTGGAGCCCTTCCAGCTGTTCCTCTGGTAGTGAATCCCAGACTGGGTGAGTTTATGTACATTCTAAATCTGTGCAGTCCCTTTTAGCCATGTCTCCTGAAAATCCAACAGTTTCTTCTGCCACCCCAACCCCCACTGGTTTTTACAACCAGAAGTTTTAGGGATTTATCTTTCTAGCACTGGAATCTCAGGCTGTGCAGTCTGGCCTGGGGCTGGGATCACTCGCTCCCAAGGTATCCCTCTTGATTTTTACCTACCACATGTGAATATGGGGCTGCCCTTTCTGCTACCACCGCCTGTCCATACCATGCCATGTCTCCTCATCTCTACACCTTTCTCTCTGAGTCCATCCTTTTCATCCATCTGGATGAATGTGACTTCTTTATATCCTTGGTTGTCAGATTTCCATACAGCTCAATTTTCTGACTGTTGTAGATGTTATTCGTTTTGATATCTAGTTGTAATTCTCTCTACGGTTGCACGAGAAGGTGAAGCGTGTCTACCTATGTCTCCATCTTGGCCAGAAGTCCTATCATTTTGTTCTTTTAACAATACTTTTGATAAGTACAAATTCTAATGTTTATATAACCAATATAACAAAACAGGGTGGGGAAAAAGGTACAGGGTAGGTTTCAGTTGTTTGTATGAAAGATAATAGAAAGTTAATAAATAATATAAGAATAAACTCTGTGTTTCATGTACTCTCAAATGTAAGCCTGTTTTTCCCCACCCCATATTTTCATTTAAAATGGATTTAGAACAATTAGAGGGAAGGAAATGGTTTGAACCCTTAAAATGCTTTGAGCTTAGAGTTGTATAGTACAGAAAAATCCCTGAAGTTTCTGGCTTTAAGATGAACCTTAGCCTTTCTGTTTAAATTTTACACAGATTTATACAATGTTTTACAAAAGTAACCTTGGGCTGAGAACAAATCCCTTGGAGACAATGCCATCAACTGAATTTGTTATACTTCGCCTCTAATGTAAACAGTTTGCGATAGTGTTTCCCAACTCAATTTGTCACAAAGAATGGAAGTGCAAGGAGAAGGAGGAAACAGTCTTTAGTTTTTGCACACAGAACAAACCACATAACATATTATTTTCCACCTGTGTACATTCCTAACCTGGAAGGAGAAAATTGGAATAACAGTAACAACACACAAAAAAAAGTAATATAAGGTCTTTCTTAAAACAAAAACCAAATTTCCTCCAGGAGAGTGGCACTGGTGAGTAATACTAAATATCCAGTCAGCAGTGACTCCTGCCTGGACTGCAGACAGGACAAGGCCCTCATCCAGACCCCTGAGAACAGACACACCTATGAGGTCAACCACCCTTGTCTGCACCAGTCCCCTGCTACCTCCCTATTGCACTGAATATATAAGGCCCTGCTGCCCAGTGTGAGCAGGAGAGGTCAGAGGGGGCTAAGGCAGTATGCCATGCAGATAATATCCCTCTAGAGTGCAGATGTAAGGAAGGAAGCTGGACTGAGCATTTACAAGCACTGGAAGAGCAGACCAGTGAACAGAGAGAGGCCCCGGGGAAAACTGCTTACTGTAGCTGGAAGTGCTTGATCTTGGTAACCAGCAGTTTGTAGTGGGCACCCAGGGGTGCCATAGATGCTATATCTACAAATATCAGTTGTTCCAGTGGTCCTGTTTCATTGGTTGCTTCTGAGGGACATAAGGTGCGGCTCACTTCTTGGTAGTTGTAGGTCCTCTGGTATCTGCAGCAGCCAACAAAGGGAAAAACCAGCCAGAATAAGACAGGGAGACTCAGTGTAAAGCAGGGAAAGAAGTGTACTGCATTTCACTTCTCCCAAATTTGTTTTCAAGCCCTTATATTTTAAGCTTCAGACTGGACCTATTGACAGTGATTTTAGAAGCAGTGTACTTTGGCACAGGGCTCTGTAGCATAGTTACAGGGATATGAGGTCTGTTTAGTGCTGACTAGCTCACTTACACAATGTCTATGTTACGCTAAACCATCCTCCTAATTCAGTGAGAAAAACATCAAATTATAAAAAGGAAACTATCCTGATAAGGCAATCAGGTAAATCCATTTTTCCATTCTTTCACTAAATGGAGCATAAAACTCCAACGTTCAAGTCAGTATTTTAATTTTCAAATTCCTCAATCTTTGAAAACAATTTAACACATACTATATGTCACATCTAAATGCCCTCTGGGTTTTTTCTTATAGTTCTGTAGTGCCTTGTATAGTTTCCCCCGTGAAAATATAAACTCCATGAGGGCAGGGTTTTTTTGGTTTTCCCCACTGTTAGATCACCAGCATGTACTACCTAGTGGTGCTCAGTAAATACTGTGAATGAAGAATGCATACCTGGTGGGCATTCTGAAGAAGGAAGAAGTGTTACTCATGTAAGTTGACTGCTGGGCCTTGCCCTATACTCAGTGAATGACCCACCAACCAATCAAGCGCTACAGAACATTTATTTAATCCTGAATAGGATTAAAATGATAGAAGTTCTTCTGGGTGCTACATATGTAGGCAGAGTTCTCATGTGAACTTCAAAGGGCATGTGAACTTCAAAGGGCGATAGAGCCACACACGTCAGGGTATGTACCACAACTTGTGTTTGCACTGAGCGTGCATAATATGTCCACATTCCAAATGTCAGATTTCTCGTTACACTAGGGAAAAGACCCACTGGGATCTGGGCCATTGAAAGAAACAATGTAGTGGAACTGTCTGGGAAAAGGCCCACTTACAGTCCTTGGAAGAGCAGAGGAACCTGCCAGGACAGCACCTCTTTCTGCTGGCGAACCACCACCAGGACCGGGTAGTCGAGGTTCTCCGAGGAGCTGTTCACATACACCCGCACGGCATTTACCTGTGGGCCATGGCAGACATAGGTAACACATATCACACATGCACAGGCACACACATCGTAGCTGCCACCCGAGACTCTGAAAAACTTGCATTTCTCACATTTACTTCTGGCCATGGGCAATCCCAGTGCCTGGGTTGTCTTTTCCTAATTCATCTTATAACCACAGTGGGCTTCAGCCTTGACTGCACGTTCAAATCACCAGGGAAGATGTTCAAAAGAACGGATGCCTGGGCCCAACTGACTTAAGTGGTCTTGGGTGAAGCCAAATTGTGGAGGCTTCCAGTGGTGGGCTGAGGGGTCCCAACTGGGCAGTCAACACGAGATTTTGAGAATAAGCCCAGAACTGAAAAAGAAAGGTATTCATGTCCTTTACTTCTATTTTGAATATAAATGCTAAAGATACAAATGTCTCTTTTAAAAAAGACCTACGAGAGTCTCAATCACTGACAAACTTTATTTTCACTTTGAGAAACCATTCTGTGCTTCAAGCCAAAATGTTATTGTCATGTTTTATTAGAGACTAGCAGATGGTCTAAAGCTTCCCCAGCAACAAATACCAGAGGGGCTGAGTTTTGTTCTCTTTGTGCTGCTCCAAGGCATAAATCAATCCCTGACACAAAGTACATTTTTGTATCATTGGCTATGTGGTCCCTTCCAAATACACATGTCATCCCACGATTTGTCCTCATGGCTATGTTAGAGACAGGAAATCAAACTATGGCCCTCGATCTAGAGGGTTTGGGTGTTTTCTTTCAGTTTTTACAATACCATAGGCAACATGGAAGGAGCAAAATAGAAGGAGGGCAAGGTAAAAAAGAAAAAGTAAAATTTGATCTTTCACATGAGATTTTTTTCCCCACTAATGTATTAAAGCCTTAGTGTTCTCTTGAACACTCCTTTATTGGGGGAAGGAAAATGAAACAAAAAAATCCTACAGTTAAACCTTGAGTATCTATCACAGGTTCAAAATGGAAATGGAGAGGAAACAGAATAGTATGGATATCACATACTACCATCTGGTTCTCTTACATCATTCTCCCTGATTAAGCCACTTTGATTTGTTAATGTTAAAGCAGTCCAAGAGTAATTTAGTAATTTGATAATAAGTACCTGCTCATGAAGGGAGCATTTTCTGTGCCTACACTCCACATGTTTCTATGGAAATCTCGCTGCAGCTGCTAACTGCCAAAACCCATCTCTAGTGCAGGCTTCCTTCCTAGGTTCTGGATGTTCCGCAGGCGCCTCAAATGCAACTTGTGAGAAATGGCATCTATCAATCCCTTGACCTCTAACTTTCATCTTTCCTGAATCCATTTGCTGGTGAATGGCCCCACTATGCAGCCATCTAAGCCTGAAACCTGAGACTCATCCTTGATTCCTTTTTCTTCTTCAGCTTTCTCAACTAACAGGTCACCAAGTTCTGCCCCTCCTATGACGGAGTTCATACTGTCCATGTCAAGACCCTCCCCTCCACTCTCAGAGTTCCATCCTTTATGACTGTGAACCTCCTTGATGGCACCTTATCTAGTCTTCTTATGCCCAGGCCACACCCCCTCAGATGACAATTTCATCTTGGCATTCTCCTGATGGAAAGGCCTTCAGTGGCTCTGGGAGTTTTCAGATTTACCCTAAAGTAACAAGAATAGTATAATAAATGTTCACATACTTATCTAGCTTTCATTTTTGAATCCTCACCCAAGGACATTTTTTTTTTCATTGTTTTTAGAAAGGAAGGGAGTGAGGGAAACATTGGTGCGTGGGAGAGGCATCAATTGGCTGCCTCCTGCCCCAGGCCGGGGATTGAACCTTCAATCCTAAGTATGCGCCCTGACAGGGAATCGAACTCGAAACCTTTTGGTTATGGGACGATAGTCCAACCCACTGAGCCACACCAGCCAGGGCTAATCTAGCTTTAATAATTATTAGGAGTATACTGTTTAATTTCATTTATACTTCCTATTTCCCACATAGACCCTTACTGGATTATTTTAAAGTAAATACCAAAGACTTTACCATTTCATCTATAAATAGTTCAATCTTTATCTCTAAGAGATAAAGCCTCTTTTTAATATAAACATATTTCCATTATTTTACTTAATAAAATTAATATATTTTTAGAATGATCTAATATCCATACAAGATTTAAATTTCTTTATTTGTTTCAAAAATCTATTTTCTTTAAGATTCAACATTGCATTTGGTTGATACGTATTTTGAGTCTCTTTTAATTGGAAGGCGTCCCTCCTTCCTTTTTGGGGGTGGGTGGGTGGGCATTTTCTTGTAAAAGAGAGCAGCTCACAAAGAAGCAGAACCTGAAGTAACCACATTCTAGATTTTGTCAATTGTCTCCTGTGGTGTCTGCCTTTGAACAGACTCTTTTGTCTCCTAGATTTCCTGTAAACTAGTAGTTAGAGCTAGAGGCTTGAGTAAATTCCAAGAACTGAATTTCTTAATCTTTTCCTTGGATTGTGTATCACAGATAAGAAGATTTTTACCATTCCAGGTTCCTGAGACCTAGATTTTCTTCTAGTATTTTATGGTTTTATTTTTATAAATAATAGTATACAGTATGAGAAATGATGTCGATTTTATCTTTTTTAATGGTTTTTTAGTTCAACCAACACCAGTTATTAACAAGTTCATTTTTGCTCCACTGATTTGAATCCCTCAAGGCACTTCTTGATCACTGCCTGCTTCTGTAATTTCTTTGCCTGCCAATCCCTCATGTTATACCCAGCTAGGAAAATTACAGCTAGGGCATTACCCAACTCAAATCTGCAGTTCCTGGAACAGGGTAATGAACAAACATCCGGGAACAATTGGGTTTAAAATTCTAGCCAAATAAGGTAACTAACCCGGCCCACCAGAAAGTGCCCGCCAGCAGCAGCACCCACCAATCAGGGACCCTCGCCGTTTTTAAATAAGCCAATAGCTAACCGCCACCTCTGCTTCTGTATGCCTTTGCTTGCTTGCTAGAAAATATAAATACCCAGTAGTCTGTAAGCCAGGCGCGACTTCCGTTTTGTAGCTCTGAGTAGCTACGTGACTCCGATCACAGTTGGGGAAGTTCGCCCCTGCGCAGGAAAATCTTTGGCTATTAAAATTTTTATCAATTCGGTTCCGGACTCCGAGAGTGTGTATTTACCCGCCGATCGTCTACAACACCTCACATGCACAATTACCTGCTGTTCCTCAAAAGGGCTATGCCCCCAATGACTGGCCTCCAGATATCCTTATCTCTGAAGTTCTCTGTGGGAAATCTTCCCTAATACTGCCCCATCCTACCAGATGGACTCTGATTACCTTTATATGGTATGTTAATACTGATACAGGGTGCAGACAGGGGGGCCCCCCCAAAAAATTTAGAAAAGTGTCCAGAATTCAAAGTGTATAGGAATATTGGAGAGACATATAAAATGTCCTCCCCCCTCCCCCCAGGGGGAAGAAACGAATGGAGCCAGGCCATTGAGAGCTGTTTTGCATAGCAACAGTTTTGCAGCTAACCTCTGGAATGATTATTTAACATATCTATAACCTTTAAATGGTTTCATAGATATGTTAAATAGCAGTGGCCAAGTTTGGGGCTGAGGCAGAAGGGAGAAGGTTGTGGCAGGGACTCAAGATGGGAACTAAGGGCTACTCTCCTGAGTGAGAAGGGCTGGGACTCAGGAGGATGTAACGAGGGGCTGCGCTCCTGAGTGAGAAGGGTTTGAACTCAGGAGGATGTAACTAGGGGGACTGAGGATGAAACTTGGGGAACTCAAGATGGGAACTAGGGTCTGGGCTCCAGAGTGAGAAGGCCTGTGTGGGAGCTTGGAAAAGACTGGCTCCAGGACACGAAGTGTCCCCGCTTGGCCAGATGAGGGAGAGCCACGCGGTTTCAGCAGAGTGAGGACCCCCTCTTGGTGAGGTGAAAGAGGGAGCCACGCGGTTTTGGCAAGGTGCGGACCCCCTCTTTCCCAGGTGAAAGGGAAAAACCACGCAGCTTTGCCAGAATGGAGATCCCTGCAGCCAGGTCAAGAAGATAGCCACATGCTTTTGGTGGAGTGCGGACTCCTGCAGCTTTGGTAGAAGAGGCCCATGCGGCTTTGGGGTGCCCCCTTTGGCCACGTGGCCTGAAAAAGCAAGAGAGACTTTGACTGGAACTGGGTACAGAGGACTCTTGCCAGTGGACCGTGAGAGGGTACCACAGTACTTTGGATTAACTCGAGATCCTGCACAGTGACACAGCTGACGGTGCCAGCGGCCTGCAACACAGACGTGTGCTCTTCTCCTGATTTACGGTACCCGGAGTTGGGACAGTGGGAGAAGGGAGCGCTGTGTGGGTGTAGGTGTACAACCTAAAGGACTTTGATATTTTAGTGGTGGCATTAGGCCTGAATAGCATTAAATAAACATTTTGTTTCCTTTTCACAAATCTCTGGCATTAAGAGATGTCTTTCCAATTGGCGGCGGACAGAAGGGCCCAGTAGATTTTAGTATTTTGTTTTTGGGAGGGGCCCCTGTTGTATAGCAGTTTTTGGCATCCCTAAGTGGGCCAAATATTGTATTGCCCCTCCCTCGGACCTCCTCTTGTTCGGTAACAATACCACTATGAAATAATAGAAAATGTATATTTTATATATAGTCCCTGCTCCCAGTTCCTAACACAGGGCTCCTAAAACTCTTAAAAATTCCCAAGTGTTATGAGCACTAGGAGCATCTTTTGCTCTCATATTTGAACTTTGACCCTGGTTCTCGACAGACCTCCTATATCCCTTGGAATTTCCTAGGTGATAGGAGTCTTTTTTGCTCTAGTGAGGAAACTCCTGGAGGGCTCCTGGATAGCTTCAGGATGAGAGCTACCAGAAAGACCAACTGAGCCATAAGCAGAAGGTTGGAATTTTCAGCTCCACTCCCCCATCCTCCAGGAAGGTAAAGGGCCTAGGGACTGAGTTAATGATTGATCATGCCCATGTGATGAACCTTCCATAAAATGTCCCAAAATACAGGGGTCAGAA